AAGGAAATTGTAGAAAAGCATGAGCATGGTATTCGTGTGACTGATCTGGCCTCGGAGTACAAGATGGTGAAATCGACAATCTCGACTATTGTACTGTACTGTACTTTGTTTCATATTTTTGTGGTTAAAAAAAAATACATATGGTTCAGAACAGATTAACCTTATTTATATTGAACCTTATGGGAAAATGTGATTCAGTTCATGACCAGAATCGTGGAACGGATTAAGTTTGTGAACCGAGATACCACTGTACTTCTTCTTTACTGACTGCCTTGTACAGCGGCTGTTCACAGTTATGACAGTGATGAAAAAGTAACTTTGTGACCAATCCTTGTATTTACAACCTTCACAGGTCTGTAAAGCAAAGGAAAGCTGAAGATCATGAGCAGAGTTGCACTTTCACTTAATGACTGCTTCGCTTAATGGACGAGTTGCCAGTCCCAATTGTAGTTGCTAAACAAGGACTACTACCATGTCTGAACTGGTTGCTTGGGATTTAGCTTGGGAGATAAACAAAACATGAGGGAGTATGAGGTGGGGACCTGCCTGCCCATCTGCTGCACCAAAGACAAGAATGGAGGGGAACAATTGGGGGAGATGGGCGGGGACAAGTTGAATGAATGAATGAATGAATGAATGAATGAATGAATGAATGAAGAATTGCTCCAAATATATCCTCTGGAACAGCACTGGAACAATTTGCCTAAGTGTTAAACATCTCCTTTTCTTAGTATCTTAACAACCCTGTTAAGGAGTCATTTAAGAATCCCAACATATGGTTATTCTTTTAAATCTCATTTAGAACTTGCCAGGTAAAGGTCTCTCATCTGCATCTCTCCCTGCTCCTTCTGCTCCTCTGCCTGGCTCAGGAGGAAGCCTTCCACCAGGGCGACTGCCTGGGAACTGGTCTCCACTCCACATTCTCGCACCCAGCGCTCTATCTCTAGGGGCAGGATGGCCAAGAACTACTCCAGGACCACCAGGTCCAGCATCTGCGCCTTTGTGTGTCTTTCTAGCTTCAGCCACTGACAGCTGGTGTGGAGGTGGCTGCAAATCTCTTGGGGCCCTCTGGTTTCCTGGAAGTGGACATTCCTGAAGCTCCAGTGCTGGACCTATGAACTGATGGTTTCCTCCTCCAGGATCTTCTGCCCAGTTCTTGTCCAGATTTCTCCACTGCTCCTTTCCCCAGCTTTCTCACCTGCATCCATTGTCTGTCTGTTCTCTAACCCAGCTCCAAATGGGGCCAGTGGATCTTCTGGTTTGAAAGAGATCAAATTGACGTTCACACAGTTTAGGTACGTCAAATCCAGCTTAAAAGACCACAGTGCTGGTGTTTGCATAAAATGCAACGCCCAGGAGAATAAACCAGATTAGGGCTCTGCCTGCTGTCCTGGTTCACACAACCTCCTAAGAAACTGGCAAGGTCGCCCAACAAAGCACCCAACCGCATTCTAGCCTAACCCGTCACAACATGTGAATGCAGTTGCAGAGTACCATTAGCATCTCCTTTCTTGCACATTCTATATTTGCCATCTGAGTTTTGCAATGCCCGCCTCTCCCTCTCCCCCCACTTGGAGGCTCTCGCAGGAAATGGGGGTGAAGGGCTTCCCCAGATCTCCTGCTTCCTGGGGATCCTGAACTTTTTCCTGGGAGCAAGGCGGCGGGTCTGGAGCTCTGCCTTCCCCCCTGCCTGGACCGTGCATGCAAGAGGGCAACGGGAGCATGGGATCTGGGCTCTCCCCCTTCCAGGAGAGCATAGGAGGCATCATACCCATTCCAGGGGCTGAGTTTCCTGTTTTCCTTTGGAGGTTCTGGAAGGTTTGCAGAGGGAGCCCCCTGGCAGATTCTGTGCACAGTGCAGGGATTTTTTTTTTGCGGGGGGGGGGGGGCATGGATGACGGGAATGGGAGGAAAGCCCCCTCTGAGTGTTGTGCAAAGGTAAACTTGAGGGGGATTTTCCACTTGCTTAGGTGTAAGCGGCCAAATGCGGATTAACCAATGCGACTGCACTATCTGTAATGTCTTGTCTGAGACTGACAAGTTTGAAACGCGTATAAAACAGGAGGAGCTTCCATCGCACCGTCAGGGCTGCAATCTTGACTTTTTTGACCACCTCTTGCAGGCATCCCCGTAACATTGTGTATTCTTCCCCCCCATCTTTTTTATTGATGCCTTTTTTTCCCTCTTAACTCTCTAAACACAGGGAAATCTCCCCAAGGTGGTGCAAATACCTTTCCTGTTAACTACTATTCTCCCTAAAACATAATTTTTAGGTTTCTTTTTCCTTAGGCCCCTTTATTCCTTTGACATTTTTCGATATTCATGCTGCCTCAAATTCTGTTTTTGGGGCTCTTCAGCTCTCTGCATCTCCTGAGGAGCATTTCAGTTCTTATTCTTTAAACAAAATATGATGGGTGCTTCCCCTTGATGTGTCAGATTAAAATATTACGTTTATCCAAGCTGCCATCTCTCCTGGTTTTTCTCCTTTTCAAAGGATTCCTCGTTTGCACTCACTGAAGTTAACCTTTTCCAACCTTAATTTCCCCACCCGGCTGCAATTTCTGAGGTAAAATTTTGAGAACAGTGTTTCTTTGAATATGTATTTTTTCTCCTTGAGGTCCCACTTCTTTAAATACAGTAGAGTCTCGCTTATCTGACATAAACGGGCTGGCAGAACGTCAGATAAGCGAAAATGTTGGATAATAGGGAGGAATTAAGAAAAAGCCTATTAAACGTCAAATTACGTTATAATTTTACAAATTAAGCACCAAAACATCACGTTTTACAACAAATCAACAGAAAAAAAACCCCAATTCAATACACGGTAACGTTATACAATAATTTATTTACAAATTTAGCACCAAAACATCACGTTTTACAACAAATCAACAGAAA